CAGAAAATTACTGGGGAGTTCATTTCTAATTTGGTGTAAAATTTTTTTAGGAGCGAAATATTGTTGATTACGGAGAAATTCCGGCGGTTTTGACACAAGGCCATTGTGTTCTGCAAAGGCACGTGGGGATCATTCGGGTGAACTCTCTAAAGGTATGCAAAACTTTTAAGTAACTTGTGTAAATGATGTGTCATCTATGGCGCATTTTTCTAGATTCTTACTTCTTTATCTTTACAGTTTTCGCTTTCATTTGCTTTTTCAACCAAGATTTTAGCCAAGATGTGATTGTAATTTCAATTTTTATACAAACCTTTTAACAGTATTACTGCAATAACTTTGTAAGGTGGCCATGTATCTCATGTATCCTAGTTTTTATTTTGGTTACTATAACCTACGTTCAAAGTAGCTTAAGAAAATGTAAAAAAAAAAGAATTCAAGGTATTCGAGAAAGGTGGTCACTAAGTGATGCTGGAAAAAATATACTCTCTTACTAGATAAGAAAATCTTAAAAAATAGTGGTGAAAAAGGGTGGAGTATTTGACTAAACCAAAAGTAATGATGAGGAGAATTAAACATACTTTCTGCGTACATTTTTAAGAAAACTAAAAAACTACTTGAGAACTCTAAATAATTAAAGTCATTAGTAACTCAGGTGAATTCATTAGGTCCTGTCCTCAGTAGCTCATAATTGTTTATAAAGTATTCAAGAGTAAAAACGGAACAGTAATGTGGTCGCCAAGCCGAGACCAAACTTACCTCGTCGTTAGATAGATTTTTTAGCACCCGAAGTAACAGCTGTTTGACTACAACAGTAATGGCGTTGTTGCGGTCAAACGAGCCTATACCTGAACCTGATTTTTTCTTCCCACAAATTAACCTCATTTCCTGTCATTTCTTATAAAAGTCTTGCTAATTCATCTCTTCCTTACACCTCTTAAGAAATTAATTCCAAACTATAATTCCGACCTAGTTGATGGAGTTGCAGCATACTGTCGACAGAAGTCCCATCCACACCCAGCAAAAATATAAGTACTTGTTCCATTTAACGGAATTCAATGAGAATGAAGCGGTCCAAACCACTGAACAATTTTTAAAGAACAAAACCACGTACTTTTTCTAAGCTGAAAAAGTTGGTCCTCTTATTGAAACCAAACTTAGGCGTAATAGATAAATCCTTTTCAGATAGCTGCAAAAAAGTTGGAACGTTCTATTTCCCTCGTCTCTGTTAACCTAACTTTTTCTCTACTAATCTTTTTTCGAAACTTTGTTCCTTTCTTTGCTCCTAGTTTGATCATTCTCACAAGAAACAGGGAAGTCGGAATGGCGGGAAGAAGAGGAAACTTTTTGCCCGCGAGAGCTAGCATTTCGACTTTCACAATTCCAAAATATTGTCTTCCAGGTGAACTGGGGGGTTATGAGCAGATTTTTTCTCCGCCTCTCAAATCAATCTGGTATAAATGCTTCCAAAAACTGCAGGAGTCTCAAGAACAATTGTATTAAAAATTTCCAAGCAAAACTTTCCAGCAGAATGAGCAGATACTGGTTAGATTTCCAGAGTACTTTTTTAAGATACGAAATGCCGTACTAGCAACAACATCGTTTGGTATCAAGAATATTGCTAAAACAGTATGTTTTGTACTGCGGGCGGCAGCAAACTCTGAAGAGCACATCAGGAGAAAACTTCTACCAATTCGAAGATTCAGTAATTACTTCTTGCTTAATAAATAGCACTGGAAAAAATATATAAAGCAAGTTCAATTACGTAAAATTTGACTTTAAAAACGATTGAAAATTGCAATCTTCAGGAACGGGCCGTCAATAATTTAGTGCTTGAGCAACGAACTCTGGATGAACTAACAACAGCTATTGTAGAAAAATACATTTTCTGCTGCATCTACCAACTTTTTCAAATACTCGCCGTCAGTTCAAATTTGTGAAAATTAAATTATTGGTGCGGATTTTCGTACCAGTCATTTCTCAAAATCAAGTCGGTTTTGCATAATGAAAACTTACTTCTAGTTTTTGCTGAATCTAAGAGGAAGAATGATATTTCTTTTACTAATAAGCCGCTTTAAAAATCCAGTTTTCTGGTGCTAACGTGGGAGCTAGTTATCTAAGCAAGTACTTATCTTTTCATTTCCAGGCGTAATGCTTCCCGTCATTTTCCCTATGACCACTAAAATCTAGTGGTTTCTAGACACTTCGAAATAACCAGCTTTTTAGGAAGTCTCCCTCACTAATGCGCAACATTTAATAAACAGTGTGAAAGGAGACCTTCACTTAGCCTATCGTAGGCAATCTGATTTCTTTTATACTCGGAAAGATTAGCGCATAAATCTCACAGATCTTAACAACGAGAGTTCTGCGTTACTTACTAAAGCTACAGCTCCAGGAGGAAAAATAATTTGGATTTCAGAAATGTCGTTTCATTTTAAGGAGTCACTACTTCAGCGGAGAAATCCGCCGTTAAAATGTTCAAACATCTCTAAACAAAAAGCAAAGGGGAAAAAACGAGTTCAAAAACCTATGTGATCAAACCCACTGATACGAACAAAATTGTAAAACGCCTTTTCGAGCAGTCCAAGCTTCAATATAGAAACTTTGCTTGAAAATTTATCTAAAGCAACTCAGTTAAGACTGCCTGCGCATTATATTACAGTTCTTCCAGTTTTTGAAGCACCACAGCAATATTACGTCTTCTTAGAGAAGAATGAAATTAGCAAAACGGACAAACGTGATGTAAAACAATATAGCTGTGACTGGAAAGCAAATTTGCAGAGAAAATTAAGGTATGTGAAGTTTTTTGAGATAGAAGAATGAAGTGGAAATTTTAGGGGAGAGTAAACTGCAGAAGAAGCAGTAAAGGGCAGTTAAAAGGAGGCAGAATTAGACAGTGTAAAAGAAAAGAAATTAAAAAGCGAAAAAATAAAAAGTTAAGTACAATGCGTTTTAATAAAAAAGGAAAAAAGAGCGCTAATTTTTTGAATATACAGTAGGAAGCTGGTGGCGAGTAGTATCTCAACTGCACTATAACGCAAGTTGACTTCTGCTTAAATATGCAACCCATGCTCACCCAAAAACCACAAGGGTTCCAACTGAATATAATTTACGGTTAACTATGCTGACTAAAACAAGTGGTGTTAAGTTCTTGATCTCCTAAAAGCGATCTTTGCCGAAGCAGTTCCTCACTCAACTTTTGCTTTGACAAGATTCAGTGGCCTCTTTTCTGTAGGTGGCATTTCGCAGCATGAACTGAACAAATATAATTTCTTAAAACTCAATTCCGACTGCTTGCGAGAGAAGAATACAA